GTGGCCAAGGCGAATTGGACAGATAATGAGCGACGCCGCCATCGACTTGAAAACGCCTCCGGCTTCTCGGTGACGGAACTCTTGATGTTCTGCTTCTCGCACGGTCGTGGTCACGACTGCGCGTCGCCATTGTTGCGAGTTTTCGTTTCGAAGCAGTTGCTGAAGGTCGCGGCCGTCGCCATGGAGAGGCGGGAGCCAAGAGGAGCGAGGGCGCCAGGTAGCGGCGGTGGCGGCCGAGCAGACGGAGGGGTCCGAGGGGGCCGATGGGGGCGGGAGAAGGGCGGCGGGCGCGGCGCGTCCGCCGCGAAGTCATGAGCGCATCACTCGTGGGCGGCCGGGGAGACCAGCGGGCCGCCCGCCAGCATCAGGATGCCGGCTTGGCGGCGGCCAGCTGCCATGGGCCTGGGGGGCGCCAGCGTGACATCTGCCTGCTGCCGCTGCTAGGGAGGGGCTGCGCATGCGTCCCCTCTGCGTCGCAAGGCCGTCGCTCTCAGCGGCGGCAGGCCCTTCGCGTTCGCCATCGGACTCATCTCAACGAAGCCATTGCACTACTCAATGTACTCTACGGCTGCCGCAGCGTCGTCGGCAAACCCGTCAACGAGTTCCAGTGCGTGGCCCTCGACAGTATGAGCGCCGCTCTCCATCGATTGGGTAGGCAACCTGATGCGCGCGCAGAGACGCGCGAGTGCGAGGGCGGAGCCCTCGAGGAGCTCTTCCGTGATCTCGATCTACGGCGAGCATGCAACGCGCGCGCCAGCGCCGCGCAACCGAGCGCAGGTCTCACGGCCCGCCCCAGCAGGTTGCCCTGTGGAAGTATCTACATTGGTTGGCAGTTGCGAGGAGGGGCGGTTGCGAGCTGGCGGAGCCATGTGCTTCCACGCTGGCAGGGGGCCGAGGAGCTTGCGACGTCTGCGTGCCCCTGCGGGGCCCGCGGTGATGTGCAGAGCTGCGCGCGATTCCCGGGCGCGCTCCACGCCCGCGGGGTGGTCGTCTTCGCGGAGGCCGTGGACTTCAAGGGACGTGCGGGTTTGTTCTTCGCTCCCACGAAGAACTGGGCCCGACGCGTCATCTTCGACGCGCGCATCGCGAGCTGCTGCTTCAGCCTCCTCCCATGACGAGGCCCCCAACAGCATCGGCCTGGGGCTCGCTCGAGGCCCGGGTCGGGCGCCTGCATCGCCGCTGCCGACCTGAAGTGCGCCGTTTACCACATGCGGCCGCCCGACGGCATGGAGGGCGACTTTGCGCCCCTAGCCATCGACGCGACTTCCTTGATGGAAGCGGGCGCGACGGACCTCGCTTTCCAGCCAGGACAGACGGTGACTGCCAACGTGGTCGCGCTGCCGATGGGCTTCTCTTGGGCCCTCCACTTGTGCCGAGAGGTCTCGTCGACTTGCTTGCTGCGGAGTGGCGTCGACCCGCCCGGCGTCGTCGTGGACGGGCAGGTCGGCATCTAGGCCCGACGCGGCTTGTCGCCGCGGGCGCCTACGTCGACGACGTCATCATTGTGGGCGCGGCGCCAAAAGCCGCCAACGACCTGCTCTACACCGTGGTGGCAAGCTTCGGGGGCGCTGGCCCAGTGGCCCACGAGGTCTGCGAGGCTGCTTCCAACGTCGAGCTCCTCGTGCCGCAGCTGCGCGACGGCGTCGCGCTCGCCATCGAGGCGCGGAATGTCTGGGGGCTGCGCGCGGCCATCGGGGCCTTGCTGAGGGGGAGGAGGCGGGCCACTGGCTTCGCGCTTCGAGCAGGGCCGTTTTGGGTCGCGCCGCATGGGCAACCCTGATCCGCAGAGAGGCGCTGACGACGCTGCGCGCCCACTGCGCCTTCGTCGAGACGTTCGGCAGCCGCGCGGGGCGCCCGTGGGACTCCACCGATCGTGAGCTCGAGCTGGTCCGCCACCTGCTGCCGGTGCTGCAGTGCGACCACCGCGGGGTGGCGCGGCGCTGCTGCGCGCGGCGACGCAGCGCCTGGCGGGCTCGGCGTGGCGCGGGGGCGGCCGCCGCCCAACGCGGCGGCGGAATGTGGGCGATTCTCGGAGCGCTGGCGGTTCAAGGTCGTCGGCGGTCAGGCAGCCCTCGCGCTTTCAGTCGCCGCCGGATCGGCGGCCGAGCAGCAGTCTGTAAAGAACGAGGAGATCCGTGATCCCCGCAGGGCTCACGACGCCCTCGCATCTCGGGATCCTTCGGCACCAGGCGCGGCATCTCCGCGGGCCGAGCAGGCCCCCGTCGAGTTGGACCTCCAGCTCCCCGTCAGCCAGTTCACCTCAGGCATGTTGTACCTCGCGGACTCCTTGGAGGCCTCTGGCGCGCGCGGGCTCGAGTGGGACCTCCACGGGGTTCTCATGGGCCCGAATGGCTTCAACGTTCGTTTCGACGAGGCGCCCTCCGCGATTACTGACAGCCCTGGGCGGAGGCCCACGGCGAATGTGGAGACGGGCTGCGCGTTCTTAACTTGTTTGCGTGGTTGTAACGCGCGGGGGGGGCACGGCGACTCGACCGTCGCCGTTGGGGGCTCAAAGCGCACCCACTCGCAGGCCGCCTTGGTTTTGGTTCTTCGACTTCGCATGCCCTCTGATCCCCCTCGTCCCGAGGGATTCCGCGGGTGCCGTTGCCGCTTCGCCTGCCTTCTCTGTCGCCTCAAGGCCGACCGTGTGTCCTCGTGCGCCTGGCTCCTTCCCACGCGAGACCGTTGGAAATCTGGGGCGCTTCTTCGGCCGGGCTGACATCTAACGCGTGGTCGTCGGGTTCCCCGCGTGTAGAAATACGCGCGCGGAAGGGGGCGTCTAACGCGCGTCTGACGCCTGTGCGTGAAACGTGTTCCCACGTGTCCACGCTGCACAATTGGGATATCCAACATGAGGGCGCGGGGCTCCCCGCGCGTATACATGCGTGCTCGGATGGGGTAGCAAACGCGCGTCTGGCGCCAGTGCATCCGGCGCGTGATTTCACGTGTCCAGGCCACCACTGGGGGGGATTTGCCATTAGGTCGTCGGTCACCCCGCACGTCAAAATACGCGTTGGTTCGGGGTCGTCCCCTCATGGCTCATCCTGTGACAATATGGAACTGATTCAGAATTTGAGCTTGAGTTGGTCGAGCTGCCCGCGCGGCTCGACTGCAACCAGCTCGAGCTTTGCGATTAGGCAGCTCGAGCCGAATATCCAGATCAGGGCGGTCAGGATTCCAACGACCTGACCCACAACACAACATAACGCATCACAGTTCAACGCGGTATGACATTTTTAAATTCGTCACAGCAAAGCACAGCACAGCTCTGGGCGCAGTACATTACCACCGTTGACCGGAGCATTGCAATTGCCCGTCGCCCAAATTGGGTGTCTTAGAAACGTTTCCACGTTGTGTACTTCAGTATTGTTTTTTTTTTGTTCGGGTTCGTGGGCCGATCATGTTCCGCATCGCTCGTCGTCAGTGCGGTCCAGCGAGTGCTGCGCAGGAAAGATGAGAAGCTCAAGGCGAAGCTTCGGGAGGAGGAGGAGAACCTGAAGAAGCAGAGCATCCACAGGCCGTGACGTGAGGGGGTCGTCGCAGTCCTCTCGCCTGACCCCTCTCTGCGCTCTGTTTTGGGGGGCCCTCCGTCAAGAACGTCGCCCGCCCGACTGGTCTGTCTCCGAGTTTGCTGACAGCCATTTTTCTCCGTCTGCTTCCTTCATATTGAGGCCGACCTATGCCTTCCTGCGGGCGCCACAAGTGCTGGCCGTCGTGTTTTGTCTCGCTTGGCGAGGGTACACCCGCCTGGGCACTGCGTTGGCTGACGTGGGTCTTTGTATATCGGGAGGCGCCTCGATTGGCAAGGTCAAAGTTCAGGTTTATTTTTTCTAAGCCCGTACAGGGAATGCGAACTTTGTCGGCCAAGCAGTGCCCCGTGGATTTCTCTTACGTTGAAGCGTTCAGTGAACCCACCGGCAGGCTTCGCAGGGGCATCTGGCGAAGATATCTGTAGCAGCGGAACACCTCAAGAACCGTCGTTCTCCGAATACTGGCATGTGGGTGTCTCACAGCTGGATCTCTTCTCTTGTGCACTGTCTATACAACTGCCCACGCTGGACAGCTCACAACCTGGCGTGGACATGGGAGTCGTCGGGCCGTCTCGAGATGCCTTTGAGACGGTCTGCTTTCTGGGGGTCTCGGGGCTGAGCACTGGGGCAGTCTTAGGCTGTCGCCTGGGGGCCGCTGATCCTGAGCCATTTTGAGGTTTTTGTTGGGCCGCTGATCCTGAGCCCGTCGTAGGACCGCCTTGGGATTCGCAGAGGAGAGGTCTCCTGGACCGCCCTGAGGCTATCGTCCAGCGCAGGCCCAAAATGAACGGCCTCCACGCCGCTCTGATGCCACACTGGATGCTCAGAGAGTCCGCCGCGGGCGGGGGACATACCCACATCAGTGAATAGCTTGGGTGCGAGAGGCGGAAGGAAGAATGGGGCAAAGGACGGTGGCGGCCCTGATGCGGTGACGAATCGAAAGTCCACTGGTCTTCGTCCAATATCCCAGGTCGTGTTCCAGAGGCCTTGGACGCCAGATATGGCGCGAGCGCGCCCAGCTTGCCTCTCACCCCCAGTTCCCTCGCCTCGCTCCTTCCTTCCCTCGCCTTGTCGCCTTGCAACGGCTGCCGCATAGCGACTGGCAGTGAGCAGTGCTGGGCGTGTGTGCGGCGCTCCAGGCTCGCCGTTATTGTTGTCTGTTTCACCTCTTCTCTTCTCGGACTCCGGAGGCAAGCCGATCCAGGCTTCATGCCCCATGATCCTTCTGTCTCTCCTCCCGATCCTCCCTCCTGCCCCTCCAGTCTTCCCGCCATTCCCTCACAGTCGCTACTCTACTCCTCCCCCTCCTCCTCCCCCTCCTCCTCCTCCTCCTCCTCCTCCTCCTCCTCCTCCTTCTCCTCTTCCTCCTAGTGGGTTTGCTTCAGCATGGGATTCAGGAATAGAGTGAGAGCTTCGCTTTGCAGCCTTTTCTCTCAACAGGGGAGAGGAGGCCCGGCACCGCGGGCTTGCATGGCCCTGGCGCTGCGCCCGCAGCACGCCGCCGTCGGCGTTCTGGCCGCGGTCGCGCTGAGGCACGCGGACCTGCTGTACCAGGCCGTCCTGCACCAGGCTGGCTGGGGAGGCGCTGGCGCGGACCTGGTGGCGGCGGTGAGCGCCGCCCGCTCGGCCGCCGAGGCGGCCACCATCGCGGCTGCGGCCGCGACTGGGGCGGGCGCGGCCCGCGAGGAGGAGTGCCCCCACACGCGGGAGTGGCTTGGGCTGCCGGAGCCACCGGCCTGCCCTCCGCCAGCCGCGTGTGAGTGCTCCTACCCCGCTCCGCCCCCGGCGGCCGACGACCCCTGGGAGCCAGCCGACCAGGCTTGGCAGCTGCTGGGAGCCGCGCTGGGGCACGTCGCCGTTGTGCTGGGTGCTCGCCTCTGCCCCCGGCGAGGTCAGGATGGCGAGCAGGCGCGTGCGCCAGCCCCTCCGAGCGGGGAGCGCCGTCCGGGCGGAGGAGGAGAACGTGCCGAAGTGGAATGGACTGGCGGCCCTGCGCCTGGCCAGCGGTCGAGTCGTCGAGGAGGAGGCGTACTGGAGTGAGCTGCTGCCAGGCTCCTACGCCGCCGTGTTCTATAGTGATGATGAAGTGTGGCATGAGAGATTGCTCCTCGGCCAGGTGGATGACCATCATTGGGTGATCGAGACACCAGGCCACGACGTGTACATCGAGAATATGTTGTGTACGTCGCCTGCAGACGGGCCACGTCACGCGGTGCAGTTGGCCGATGATGGTTCACTTCCAGTCTTCTTGATGGGCAAGACCCACTGCTTCAAGGAATACCCTGATGAAGCTGGTCTTCGTGAGAAGATGCTGTGCGCTGCGGAGGTCGCCCAGCAGGCGGGGTATGACGAACCCCTTCGTTCCAAGTACCTGAGAGCGACAGGCGAGAGAGTGCCAGTGGAGATGGCGGCGCCAGTCAAGCGTCGACATCGGCACAAGGGTCCCCCGCTACCGCCGCCCTCCCTGCCGCCGCCCGAGGAGGTCCGCAGCGACATAGGTCTGGAGTTGGCCCGGCCTGAGGACGTCGGAGGCGCGGCAGGGCAGCCAGCTGGGATGGGATGCGAAGGCACTGCGACCCCGCTGCCACTGGAGCCTGATCGTGCTGTCCGCTGGGTTTCGATGGCGACATGCCATCGTGCAGCTGGCGTGCTTCGCCGAGGAGATGATGTGCAGCTGGCCGACAGCGACATGGTGATGGGTGAGCGGGCGCTCCGCAGGTTGCCCGACGGCCAGGTGCCGGCTGCCTGCGCGCCGCACAGCCTGGACCACAGCCAGGACGTGCGCCTCGGAGGCGACGGGGCTGATGCTTGGGTGCTGTCGCCAGTGACCTACGACCCAGGAGGACGCCGCTGGTCGGAGTTCTCGGCGGCGCTCAGCCGCGTGCGGGTCGAGCCCATGGACGATCTCCCTCTCGAGGGACTCTTCCAGTATGTGCGCGACCACGGCTGGACCTTCGACGCGCGGCAGACGAAGTGGGCCATGGAGCAGCGCATCCAGCTGGACTCGACGGCCTTCCTGATGCGCGACTTGGTGGGGCTCGCGCTGGACCTATCGGTGTGCTACGACCAATGCGATGGCGGGAGCCTCGCCAGCGTGGAGGTGTTGGTGCGCCTGTGCCAGCTGGTGGAGACGACGAGCGGGGCGCTGCAGCTGGAGGGCCTGGAGCGCTACCTGGGCCGGGATAGGACGGGGGGCCTCCGACGGGGCGCGGCGCTCAACCCGGCTCCGGCGCAGTGCGCGACAGACAGGACGACCGCGGAGACGGAAGTCATGAAGCAGAGGCGGAAAGCTCGAGAGTATGCCGACGCCGCCAACAAGAACAAGGGCAAGAAAGGGGATGGCAAGGGGCACCCCCGAGGGAAGGCAGCGCCTCGGAGGCCCTTGGCCGAGGCGCGAAGCAGAAGGGGTCAACTCACCGTCGGCGCGCGCCTGTGGGAGATGGAGATGGTTTTCTTACCCTTGCCCGTCCACAGATCGAGCGCTATGATGGCGGCTGCGAGAAGCTGGCCCGTGGCACCGAGCAGCCGATCCGGCAAGGTTTGAAGGTCCAGGAGGCTACGTGCGCCACCGTGCACGCGATCAACCGTCTGGCTGGTTTTGACACGCCCGAGGTTGGAGTCCGTCACGGACCCCCGCGGCCCCTCCGCCCAGGTCTACAGCGACATCAGGGCGCTGCGCCCGGCCGGCGCACCCGAGCCGGGGAATTCATTTATTCCGCAGGAAGCCCTCATCGAGCTTCTCGGGAGCACGCCCTCGCCCTACTGCAATGGTGACGAGACCTCCCCCGTTCGGCCCGAATCGCGCGATCTGGTCAGCCTGGCCCGTGGAGGGCGACATCCTTCTGCCGCTTCAGACCAATGGACCAATGCGCCATCGGACCTGCTCCGGCAGTTGACAGAGAACCAGCGCGATGCGCGGCTGCGGCAGCCGCGCGAGGTGCAGCAGACCTGGCAGGATGACGGCCTGCCGACCTTGTGCGGTGGCGAGATTTGGAAGAATGATCGTGGAAAGTAAATGGCTTCGTGGAGGACAGGCTGGCCAGGGGCATCTTTCGCCCCGGGATTCGCATCGTCGCGGGCTGCCGTTTCAGCAGCCAGCACTTTCGAGAGGCGCCGAAGGCCCACCTCTTCTCAGGCAGCAGCTTCGCTGAAGTGGAGGTCCCTGGCGACAAGCAAATGTGGTGCGCAGGAGGAGATGTGCAGAACGCATTGTACCAGCACCGCACGCCAGCCTGGCTGCAGCCCTACTTCGGCCTGGGCCCAGCTTCTGCTGGGGAGGTCGGCGTCTCGCGGCTCGACGGCCAGACGGTGTCCGGGGATCTGTGGGTCTACCCCTTGATGAACGTGGTTCCGATGGGCTGGAAGTGGGCCTTGTGCATCGTGCAGCGCATTCGCGAGACTGCGCTGGACAGTGTCCCCGAGCTGGGACCAAGGCGGAGGGCGGTCGACTTCCGACCGCCGCCTGATCCTGGCGAAGGTGCGGTGCGCGTGGGCAACGTGCTCGTCGAGGGCTACGACCAGCAGGAGGTGGCGCACCTTCGCCGGGCCGCCCGCGCAGCTTTGCAGAAGGCGGGGTACGCGACGCGCGATGAGACGGACGCCGCCGAGAGCATGCAGGTGCTGGGCGTGGAACAGCAGGGTCTTCCAGGCCGCGTGGCCGAGTCGGCAGGCCGCCACTGGAAGCTCTTGTTGGCGCTGGAGTGGATGGATCCACCGACGCTGGCCTGAAATGGCGAGCAGGCAGCTCGAACGCCTGATCGGACACCTTTCTTTCATCGCGCTAATCGGACGTGAGTTACCCAGTGTCTTGCGTTCATGCAAGCTTTTTCCCGAGGTGATTTTTAGATTCCCAGGCCCCTCTGGAAAAGCGTTCTGGGTGAGCTTCGCTTGGTCCAGGGGCTGTTGATTTCTTCGTCTCGGGACCAAGATCCGAAATGGCCCGAGGAAATCCTTGCTTGTGGTGCGCGTGAGTCTGGGCATGCTACAGTAAGGGAGTCTTGGGCGGTGAGAGATGCACAGTCAGTGGGTAGGTGGCACGAAAGATGGCGATTCAAGAATGCTGAGGATCCCGCGGGGTCCAATCCGCGTGATAATGCTTTGGGGCTCATGACTACTTATGGGGATGGTGATAATGGCGTGGACAGGGAGGTCGATTACCATAACGCGCTCATTAATAGGGAGTTGCTTCCTAAATTGGTGAAGGCGTCGTCGCGGTCAGTCGAGCGATGCCAGCCCGTTTTCTCTCGCGAGCCGACGCGCGCCACCGAGGTGCGAGGTTTCCTGGGGGCGATCCGCCAAGCGGTGCAAAATCCGACGGGTGGGGGGCACTCGCGGTTGATATTTGGAGATAATCTGAGGCTCCATCTATTTCTATCGAAGGGGAGATGTCGAGATTCAAGTCCCCTTGTGCTTCATCGCAAAGCAGCCGCGTGGGCTCTAGCCACCCGGTCCGGATCCACGCGCAGATGGATGTCCTCAGAGTTCAATCCCACCGATGGGCCCTCTCGCAAGCGCGAGCCATCTGCGGGGGCCTCCACGCGGGGGCCTCCACGAGAGATGCCGTTCATGCCAAGCCGCAGGCGTCAGCCGCCCGAGAAGCAGTTGGGGGCGGCGGGCCAGCCTGCGGCGCCGTGCAGATTGGGCGGGGCGCAGGGGGGCAAGCGGCAGAAGACCGGCCCGAATGTGGAGAGCCTGGCGCGCACCAACCAGCAGAGCCCTGGCCATCCAATCCTGGGGTTGCTGGAGCTCAAGGAGGCCGGGCGCGAGGAGGAGCTGAAGTTGCAGCAGAGGCGAGCCGCGCGGCGATTGGCTACCCATGGAGAGTTGAGGGACACGACGGAGGGCCCCGGGATCACCGAGGAGGCCTCGCTGACGCGAAGACCCGAGGGAGATGCAAGCGGCTGCGGTCGGATTTCCAGTCGGAGCAGGACGTCGTAGGCCTCAGCATCCACCCAGCGGAGCTGGGTGCCCAGATCGCCTGCAACTTCGACCGGCTTTTTCTCGATGGCAAGGCCCCGTCCACAGGGGAGAAGCTCGCGGCAGCCATCCGATATGTTGTGCCGGCGTACAACGCCAAGGGCACGATGGCACTTCCGCGGACCGCCCGCGCCCCGGGGGGCTGGCGGCGCCTGGTGCCGGCCCGACTCCCGCTGCCGTGGGAGTTCGCGGCGGCCATGGCGCTCCATTTCCTGAGGATCAACGGGCTCGGGGTGGCGCTGTCCTGGCCGCTGACGGCGGGCGCCTACACGCGGCCGGGAGAGTGCCTGGACCTGCAGGTGAGCCAGGTGCTTCGGGCCGTCCTACTGCGCCCCGCGGAACGCGGCCAGGCGAGCACAGTGGGGGCAATCGACGAGAGTCTTTCCCTGGCTGTCAGAGCTCCTGATGCAGTGCGCGGCCAGTCGGCCTGCTTCAGGGAAGCCGTGGGACTTCGCGCTCAAGCAGCCGCGCGCCAACTTCCTCGCGGCGGAGGGCCTGGTGGGCATCAACTACCTCAAGCCAGTATTGTACATGGGCAGGCACTTCAGGCGCGAGCCTGGATCGCTTCGACCTCGCCGAAGCTCAGAGGGGGGGGCGCTGGCGCAGCATGGCATCTGCCCGACGATGCGAGAAGCGGGCCTTGGTGCAAGATGTTTGCAACGAGCTCGGGCGACGCTCCAGAATGACGTGCGATCGCAGCGCCGCAGAGTTAGTGGGCGCCCTCGCGCGGGCAGGATGCCAGCTTCAAGCGTTTCGAGGCGTCGGGCGCGCAGAGGTTTTTTCGTCATAGAGGTATTCAGTGGATGTGGGGCCTTCAGCGATGTGCTGCGCGACGTCGGGGGGTCGATGCGTTCGCTTTTGACATCCTGCAGGGCCCCGAGGGAGACGTTGACAGAGCCGGTGTTCGTCGTCGCATTCGCCGATTGATTCGTCATCCGAGATGTCCTGGGGTTTGGTTGGCGCCGCCGTGCACTACCTAAAGCAGTGCTCGACGGCCTTTGATCAGAAGCAAGGGTCATATCTAGGGTTTGCCAGATTCGCCTTGTGATTTACAGCGGCAGGTGGACGCCGGTGCAAAGTTGATGCGAGTGACGGCAGAGCCCTGCCGTTTTGCCAGTCAGCACAGCGTTCCGCGGGTTGCCGAGAATCCCCGGACTAGCCTCATATAGAGGAAGGACTCCCGAGCTCGAAACCTTGAGGCGGAACCCGAAGGCCCGTGGTGTGACTACTCACATGTGTGGTTTTGGTGCCCGCTGGAAGGAACTGACGACCCTGTGGTCCGCTGGATTGGAAAGTATGCAGGATATGGTGTACCGATGCCCGAGCTTGGCTGCCAGCCGTGTGTGAGTTCTCGTGCAAGCTGCATATAATTTTATCGGGAGGCAACCCCTGCGGGGTCCGATGGACAAAACATGGTGCCGCGTATCCTTGCAGGTTCGGGTCCGCCTTGGCTAGAATTTTCATCGACGCTTATGCACCACAGTTGTCGTTCATATGTATCCGTGGTGCACTGGGCGAGGGCAGAACTACGATGGTGAACCGTGATCCGTTTACGAGTTTTGTGAAATTTGGTGGTTGTTTTGTTCAAGACTTCGCCGCGGCCTGGCCCTAGGACGATGACCGCTGCTTCGCCCTTTCAGGACTGTAACAGAGATGGTCTCAAGAAAATCGGAACGGTCTGACTGATGCGTTTGCTTCAGCATGGGATTCAGAAATAGAGTGAGAGCTTCGTTTTGCAGACTTTTTCTTTCACCGTGCGACAGCGCCAGTCCCGCCTTTTGAAAACTACAAGACTCACCCTGAATCCACATTAAAGTGTCGTCGTGTGTTAAAATATTTAACCCAGCGAAGCTGGGAGTTCTGCTGTGTCTCGCCCTGGCACCACGCACTTGGTTGTTTTGTTCAGGACTTTGCCGCGGCCTGGCCTTGGGACGATGACCGCTGCTTCGCCCTTCAGGACTGTAACATACATGGGTTCAAGAACATCGGAACGGTATGACTGATCCTCCTCCTCTTCCTTCTATCCCGCCCCCACATCCTCTCGCCCCCGCATCCTCTCGGAGCAAGTGTCCCAGCCCTTCCCTCCCGAGGTCGGGGCGCTTATGCACGGCCACGCGCCCAGGGAAACGACTTCCTTGGACCTCGGGAGGCGTTGGATGTCAGCGCGTTCGGAGCCCCTGGTGCCCAGATGTACCAGTTTTCATGTTGATCGAATCCCCACCCTGCCAGGTCGAGTACCGTCGAACATCTGACATAGAAGCCTCTTGAAAATCTGGGTCAGCGTTTTTCGAGCAGCTTGCCGAGAAGCTGGCCCAGTTTTTGGAGCACGTTTGCCCTTCCAGCGTCAACAACAGAAATTTGCCCAGGCTTGCTTGCAGAAGCTTCTGTGAAGCTGGCCCAGGTTTCTCGAATGATGAGTTTCTTGATCCTGTTTTCGGCTGTAGCGCTTATTGGGTTCGGCCGCAATTTGTGCAGGCCTGCGCCCACTGGGTCTGGTCCCGAGCTGCGCTGCCCTGATGCGCCCGTTTCGAAGCGCAACGCGTGCCGTGCCCAGAACGTCCGTGTTGACACGCTGCGTGCTGGCTGGGAGCGCGCTGGCCCACTCAGCGTCGCGCCAAACGTACGCTCTCAGCATGCGGGTTGCGTGTTGCCGGGCCTTATCTGCAGATGTGATGCTGGCGCCTTCCACGAAGCAGCCTCCTCCTAAGAACCCCCCCCCCCTCCCCTCCACCCCCTTTTGCGCGCCGCCGAGCCTCGGGGCGGCTGAGAGCCCCGAGCGGCTCTCCCCAGAGGGTGTTTTTGTTGTGGAGGGGGTGGCCTGCGTGCGCCGCCCCGCTCCCCCGCTCCCCACTCAGCGGCCGCCCTCCCTCTCTTCCCTCGCTCCGCTGCCCCTACTCGCCGGCCGTTGAAAGTCGGTATTTTTGTTGATCCTCGGGCTCCAATCTGCTCTGGGCGCCTTCCTACTTCCATGGTCGAGTGGGTTCCCCTTTCCGTCGCCTTTGGGTGGCGGGCGGAAGCCCAGGCTAGCTCCAGCGCCTCCCTGCTTCATGTTTCTACCCGCTTCTTCCGACCGGGCGCCGCGACCAAAATGTGTTTTTGCTGAAGGGTGTGGTGTCCACCCTCGATCCATGCCCACGTGCCCTAGGGGATCCTGGGAACTCGGCTCCCCATGCGGCAGATGTGCAGAAGGTCCAGGCCTCGCACGCCCTTGTTCCCGAGATCGGCCTCACGTCGGCGTGACCCGTCCCCGGAGCGGCTCCTGGTGCGGGCCCACTGGAGTACCCCGACCGCTGAGCGCGATTCGATAGCAGCGGCTTGTGCGCCTGGGTGCGGACCCTCCCGAGTGCCGCGCATCCAAGGTCACTCTTATCCGAGGTCGCTCGTGTGTGTGTGTGCGACAGGTTCGTGTCGTTTCGACGCGGGCGTGAAATGTTGAATGCCGACAGTGGTCAAGACTCGGCCGGCACAGTCCACGCGGTGTCAGAAACCAAGGCTCAAGTCGTCACTGCACGACTCTGCCGTAGCCGACAAGGCACGTGGGGATCTTCCACGACGTGATTTTCTCACGACATGGACCCTCGGAGGTCCAGACCATTTCCCAGAGGCTGGTTTTTCGGGTCGAAGCGGACCAGAATTGCACACCCCGCTTCTTACAGAAAACAGTGTGTTTCACCGAGTGCGCAGCACTTTTCGGGATCTGGGCCCAGATCTCGTTGCGAAAAAGAATTTCCCAGATGCCGGTTTCTCATTTCGAGTTGTCATTCTGACGGCTCCCGGCCTGGGCAACGGCCTCCAGAGGTCGAAAGGAACACACCAGAAATGCCAGTCGTGCTTTCGTCGCGACGGGGGCGGAGTGCAGCCGACAAGGCAGCAATCTGGCTTGAGTCCAGCCCAGTGGCTGAGACGGCGCATGTCTGGAGAAGCGCCCACAGCGGTCGCCAACTCGGCCCAGACACTTCAGACGTCAATTCGGCCCCGAGACTACGTTCGCTAAGGCGATGGAAATTGTCAATTCAGCTTCAACACTTCGTTCGTCAAGGGCCCACCTCCAGACCAGCAGCCTGCGACATACTCAAATTCTGACCAGAATCTCGAGGGCAATGCGGCCGTGGCGACGAAGGATTCCGACGATGTCCAGGAAAGGCCAGATCATCGAACCTTGGAGGCACACGCACAAAAGGGTGGCGAACGGTGGGCGGCCTTCCAAAAAGGCGGCGGGGGTCTTCTGAGATTCCAGATGGCTTCTTAGAAGCCTTCCTTCATTGAGGGTAAACGAACCTCTAGCCTTCATAACGCGATGAAGGCGTGGCTTCAATTAGGTCCCCGTCTTCGCATTATGGATAATCGACCTGAGCGATTTGGCCTGATACATCTGCAGGAACAAAAACAACACATACCCCTTTATCCCTCATTTTCTTGGCCCTCCTAACTTCGAACCCATCCCAAAGGGTCAGGGGTATGTTATTTGTTTATCATTCCAACCTTCTGAGAAGCCATCTTCGAAGCCTCAGGGGCCTGTCTCAGACGGCCCCCTCGCCGCCCTAGAAGGCCGCCGCCCTCGTGCCGCCCCCTAGTACTGCGCGCCGACGGGACCTTCCTTTTCCCAAGGCACGTGGAGACCGTGCACAAGTTCAGCTTCTCCGACGCCTGCCAGACGTGCGGCTGGAGCGAGGTCGGGGGCTGCCCAAAAGTGCTCCTGGCCCAAGGCGTCCTTGGCTTTTCGCGTCCTTTTGGAGCCCCTGGGATGCTTCAGGAACGCTCTGGTCAGGTTGCAACTCCTGAGGGGTTGGGTTCAGCATCGGCGCTGGTAGATCCGTGGTCGAAACTGGCCTAATCCGGCCTAATCCTGATTTTCCCCATTAAGCCCGCTTATCTTTACTCAGCCTGGCATGGTCCTTGGCTTAATTCGGCTAAGCCCTGTTTGATCGCCCCCCTTATATGTATACTTAGCTTTTTAACGTCCCCACTAAGACCGCCCATGAGTTGCCTCGACTATGGGCCTTCAGCGAAACCCCCGGGACACCTTGTCGGGCGCGTCCCAGAGGGGGTGAGCACAACTGCGCGGGTGCGTGGACATCATGGCCGGGGCCAGCACCTCCCAGATGTCCTGGCCCCCCTTCTTCTTCTCTCCGAGTTTTTTCCCAGACCCCCCCTCGGCCCGCGCGCAAGCATCTGGCCACGATGCACCAGGCCCCTCGTCTTGGTCCCCCTCTTCGGCGCACCCGACCCCGGGGCCAGGGACGCCTCCTCCAGCAGCCCTCTTGCGAGGGGGGCCCCGACCTGAGCGAGTTCGCCAGGGCCGTCAGGGACAACCAGGGCATCCTGCCACCTCCTCGGCGGCCCGCCGCGCGCCCCGCGCTCGCAGCGGGAGCAGGAGCAGGAGGAGGAGGAAGAGGAGGAGCAGGAGGACAAGGAGGAGGAGGAAGAGAGGGAGGAGGAGGAGGAGGCATACGAGTAATCGCAATCGTGCGAGGAAGCGTAATACTCTTAATCGTAAGAAGAGCACAACTACCAATAACAGGATCAAGTAACATACTAACGTACCCTGAAGAATAATCATAGGACGCAAAGCCGAGCATTCAGCGTAACAATACACATATAAATAATGCTCTTAATGCTAACCGTTGATAGTAATACCACTGATACTGATACGATGTAGCTTCACTCAACAAATATTAGCATCATGTGGTTTTCCATGGGTAGTTTTATTCAAAATAACACTAGTAATCATACACATTCCAGTAATAATAGTAATCACCAACACTAATACGAACACGAGGTATGCCAACATGCTATTCGTAGTAGTTGTAATAATATTGGTACGAATATGCGTACTAGCAGTCACGAGGGCAATGCGGCCAACAGTTTTATTCATACTGATATGAACAATAGTAGTAGTAGTAGTGGTAGTAGTAGTAGTAGTAGAAGTAATCGTAGTAGTAGTAGTAGTAGTAGTAGTAGTAGTAGCATCAGAAGAAGAAGTAGTAGTGGTGGTAGTAGTAGTAGTGGTAGTGGTCGTAGTAGTAGCCGTAGTAGTAGTAGTGGTAGTAGTAGTAGTAGTAGTAGTAGTAGTAGTCGTAGTCGTAGTCGTTGTCGTAGTCGTAGTCGTAGGTAGTAGTTCTAGTAGGCGTAGTCGTAGTAGTAGTAGTAGTAGTAGTAGTAGTAGTAGTAGTAGTAGTAGTGTTTGTAGTAGTAGTAGTAGTAGTAGTAGTAGTAGTAGTGGTGGTGGTCGCTTTCGTTTGTGTAGTGGTAGTAGTAGTCGTCGTCGTCGTAGTAGTAGTAGTAAGACGAATCATGTTACGAATGCTACACATTGGAATCGTACTGCTCATAATAAGCGCACTGTGCATATCAACGAACAAACAATAACAACAATGAGACTCATAACACTACACAACAGGATACTGTTTGCACTGCCTTACCCCTGTCAGGTACAAACTGTACGTCATAGCGAATTACTTACAACCGCCTGGAGAACATGCATTGGGTGTTGCATGGACGAGACAAGGACTGAAAACACGTCTTGATGGCACTCCGAGAGGAGAGAATAAATCTAATATGATGTCTCGCAGGCGAAGAACAATGAACAAGAGCTCCGCTAATGTGTTGGACAATTTGAGCAAGGCTGAACAGCATCAACGCAAATGGGTTAGTCATGAACGTATACGTTTCAAGAGTGCTTCGGCTGGTGGTACATTCATGTATTCGCAGCCAGGGACCGTTCCTTCCTGGCGACCTGACAGCGTCTCGGCACAGCCGCAGGCGCGTCACGAGCCATATTTTCAATATCTTGAACCCCTCAAGCTCAGGTTCATTGACTGGCTAGAGCACAAGCATGGGGATGATCACCCCACGGCTGCTCAATGGTGGCCATGGATTTGGACGCCAGATCTGGCCCAATATGATCGCCCTATGAGATGCGCCGCACTTGCCGTTTTCAATTGGGAACATGTTAGTGCAGACCAAATTCGACCGGAGACGGGCTGGGACCAGTGGGAGCGAGAAATGGAGGAAAGCGGATGTGTCATTCTTTCCGTTCGAGTGTCGGCGGATAGTTTGGAAGCAGCGAACCGAGCATCTGCATCGACCCAAGTAGGGGACATAGATTTCCGAGTCGTTGTTGAACTTCATCATCGGCCAAGCCGCAGTGATGAAGTAGTCTCAGAACGCGAACAGAAGGCTGCGATGTCGGATCGCATATGAAATCACCATATTGCACAACGACATCCATGGCTTATTCCGAATAGATCGTTGCCTTATTGGCTTGACTTGGTTTTTAGTATGGCTGCATGTGTGGTCATAACTACAGCAATGAAAACTACGAGAGGCCAGCTGTTATCCAAGTCGCAACGCAATTTGTTATTGAATACTTCTCGGTTGCTCCAAATACAAGCCCGCTGGACACCGACTTTATCCATGACGTACCGCCGGGGCTACCCGAGCTTGTAGATCGAATTCGGAACCGGCCGTCTGATCGCATCCCCACACATAGAAGATGGGGACGCATTCTGATAGTTGTACGAGAAGTCATGTGTTTATTCATGTCCGCGGGAGTCAATGTTGCGTTTCCAGGGTATGAGGTGCAGCGTGATCCGCAATCCACCCAAGTTTTGCAAGATGCTTATGCTTTGGATTGTCGGATCCAAGCTGCTGTAGAAACATTCGGTTTGCTTTGTAATTGGATCCACGGATTAGGGAATGAAGAATCTGAGACCGCACGGCGGACTTGCTCAGGCATTCAAGAGGGCGTGGTCTTTATGCGCGCGTCTACGGGGCCTCAATTTAGTGTCAAGATTTGTCTCGCCAACAGCCTTTTTGGGGTCTTCAATGCCGATGGCGCTATTGGGGTCACCAATTGCCGTAAAAAGATAAAGGAGTAGAGTGGCCCAGCCAACTCTCCCACCGAGACAGTCCCAGCCGAGTCGCCAGCAGACGCTGTAGCCCCTTTCGTTGAAAGCACTACCCCGAGCGGCACTGCCGCCTCGGGGCAGCGAACTCAGCAATGCTCTCGTCTGGCATCGCGACCGAGGTACCAGTGTGGAAGGCAATCCCATCGCGCCGCCCCTTATGCTCTTGTGTCTGCCCGTTCAGCCGCGTCATGCACCAATGCCGGCTGGATCGATCATGACACGATTCAGTCGTGGGCGGATGAATCTTGGACTGAGGAACCCATCCCCCAAAGGCTGGCTGTCGAGCAGGTCGGCGGCCGCGCGCGCGACGGCGATGGCCCCGGGCCGGCCGTGGGCGGCGTGTGCGACGCGACCGTCGACTGCGAAGACAAGACCGAGAATGGGGAAATTCGAGGATACTACGTACATGTACCCCGGCATCATCAAGTCACCGGTCATCGCGAAACGTGGCAATGGTTTAGTCTGGATGAGTGCAACGACAAGATCCAGCGCGACTCTGGGGCGCTAAGTACCTGGCCAGCGCCTCCCCCGCCGCCGTCGCCAAGGCGAGGCCGCAGGAGAAGGGCATGGGCAAGAGTGAGCCAAGTGGCTGAAGCTCGAGCAGAAGAGAGGGCAGCTCCCCCAGGGACCAGATCGAACCAGTGGCGCTGGAGCAACAGCGACCCCTGGGATGACTCTCGAGAGCGGAGAGGTCGATGGAGAAGGTTGTGGTGCGCAATGGAACCTGCGCGACAAAGTCGATGCTGGTCCGCGCTACTTCGTGGAGCGGGCGCACCAGGTGTGCATGGGCATTTGGGCCTGAGCTGGACATGTTAGCTCAGGCGGGGGACGCCGGGCTTCTTCGGCCTTCCGCCCCCTGGCAACCACCGTCGAGCGATGACGCGTCTTCTGGGGCTCGCTCCGGCGGCTGCGCACATGCGCAGGCCAGGTGGGTTGGGGGCCGGGGCGGCTCTACGGATCCCGCCGCGGGGGGGGTCGATGCGCCCCTTCCGCGCCGCCATTATTTTGCCCTGCCTGCTCTCTCTCTCTCATTGCGCGCGCTGTCCGCCCGCTGCACTAACTTGTTCTGCTCCCGCAGCCATGCTCTTTGGCTTTGGGGAAACGGAAACGGAGCGAGCCTGCGGCGCGCGCGTCGGCCGGCGGGCCGGCCCCCTCCCTTCAGCGTAACCTTAGTGCATGCTGAAGGCACTACCTCTTCTTATCCACGTCATCTGCAGAGCCCGCTGACCATGGGATATCCTCGGAACACCTTGCAGGGATTACGAATATCCAGGCAAAAGACGAGGGGGCCATCCAGAGTGGCAGTCAAGAGCTCACTGCACCGCCGGCCCGCCGCCGCGCGCGGTCGCTGCGCGCCGCCCGCTCGCGGCGGCGGCCCCCGCCCCCTTCTTCCCCCCCGCCTCCGTCTCGCCCCCTCCCCCCCCCCTCTGTGGTCGCAGCAGGCGCCCCTGCTCCCGTGGGCCGGGTGAACCCCGCAGCCGTCCCGGGACAGCAGCGCCTACCTGGGTGGACGCGAGCCCCCCCCCTGCCGCTCTCCTGGGGCGACATGAGCTCCTTCCTGCTTCGGCGTTCGCCGCGGAGACGTCTCCGGGCCGCGGTCGGGCTTCGTGTTCTCTCGCTCTTGCGCACCTGGCAGGGCCTGGGTGCTGTTCCCGCGCCGCAGCGCTCCCAGGGTCTGGTTGCCCAACTCCCGCCCCCCTGGCGTTGCGCGCCCGGCCTTGCTCAAGCTTGCTCGGACAGACGCCTGCTCTGCGCGGCCCTCCACCCGGGCGCGCCTGGACCGCAACGCGGCCCCCAGAGGCCCACTCGGTCTGCGGTGCTCAAGGTAGGCGTTTTGTGTCCCTGAGCTGTCCGACCGACCTGCGCGTTCGCCGGGCCCGCGACAAAAATGCGCGGGCGCGCGCGCGCGCGAGAGGAGTGGGAGTGCGCGGGGGGAACGAGGGCCGAGGCGCAAGGGCGCCCTCGCCCTCCTGTTGCCCGCCCTCCCGGGGCGGGGGGGGGGGGCGGAGGGGCGGAGGAGAGGCGGGTCGAGGTGCGAGTGGACAGGGAGGGCGAGGGAGGGGGAGGGGGGGAGAGGAGGAGGAGGAGGAGGAGTAGCAAGACGGTCGTTGACATATGCCACGGCGCGGCAGCCTCGACTGCGGACCGCGACCTCGCCATGCACCTCGAGCTTGCATTCGCGCGCGCCAGTGCTATCGCCAGCATCGACCTCCACCGCGTGCCAAGCCGCGAAGGGATGTTCTGGAACAAGCTTGCCGATTGCTTATCAATGCGCGAGCGGGGGAAGCACGAGAAGAACGAGCCGACCAACAACATTCCACGGAGCTTCAAACTCGCCATTGCTACCAGCAACTATTACCAGTGGGAAAATGCACTGGGCAATAATTTCCGAGATAGACACGCATATCCAGCGA